TTTTCCGAGCAGTTCCAGTGAGGGGAGGGTGTCCAATTCTTTGTGTCTCAGCTAAATAAAACCTGCAGTAAGCGTGAATGTTGAAAGAGAGCACTCAGAAGATATTTTGGGAGGGAGGATGTTCTGTTTAGGAGCAGGGGAGGCAAACCCCAACCAAGCCAATGTGCTGCCTGGGCTGTGCTAACAGACACCGTGGGACTGTGGGAGGAAGAACAATGCTGTCAGCATAAACGAGAATCCTGGCTGGAGAAGAAACATTTGGCAAAGCTGTCTGTGTGAGCAGAGTGGCCCTTGCAGCATGGTTGGAGATTCAGAATGTGGGTCAGAGTAATTTGGCAAGAGAGGACATAGTCAAGGGTGAAGGTGGAAAGAATGCAGACAAAGAGGAGGAGCTCAGTCTGACCAGCATGCTTCCTCATCTGGTAGGAAGGCAGTGCAGTTTAACATATCAGAACTTCATTCCAATTACAATAGCACTCACCTGCTTCTCCTTTTGGCTGACAGACTGAGGCACAGCTTAGCACAAGGCTGCCTAAGAAGGCAGAAGGTAAATTGCTCATGTACTGTTTGTTACTGGATGAGCTGGAGACTCATGGTCGCACTACTTCTTACTAGATTGTGACAGATTGGTACAGGCAGCTTAGAAGCACAAGGATGTGAAAAATAGTTTGTGGGGTGTACTTAGTTCATATTCATATTCCACCAGGAAAAGGCCAGTGTATACACAAATTAAATGCAATGAAGCAAAAGAGTTGCAAACCATTGGCAGATGATTTTCAGTGGTGCTTTTCCTGAGGACTTCCTCAAGAGCCTATTGTTCTCAGATGAAGACTGAAATCATTCCCACATATAAGGCCACAATCTACCAATGTGGCTGCATCTGTACTGTTCTCCTCCCCTTCTTCTAATATCACTGGTCTGGATGAAACTGCAGCCAAGCTACATTGCAGTCTGTGTAGTGTGCACTACTGATGAAATTCCTGTGCATGGCCAACAAAGGTCATTGTCCTTATGCTGTGTCCTTATGCTGCCCCATGTGTAATGTGAGGACTAAGGACATGATCCAGCATGGTGCTCTGTCTTCTGAGTTATCCAAAGGTAATAGTTCTTGTGGGAACAACTCCTCAGGGTCAGATGCCACCTCCATGTATAACAACTGCAGTCTAAGAGGTTACAGACAGGTGTTGTATATCTATATGATTTGTTCATGGCAGAGCAGAAATGCTAGCAGAGATTTTTTGTTGTAGTAATCATTGGTTATAGACAGAAATAGAAATGGCCTTATCAGAGTGCAAATCACAGAATCACAGAATGGCCAGAGTTTGAAGGGAACTCAAGGATCATGAATCTCCAACGCCCCAAATACTGACCAGCAATACCCCAAATCTCAGTGTGTTATCAACACTGTTTTGGTCATAAATCCAAAATACAGCAGCATACGGCCAGCTATGAAGAAGACTAACTAGATCCCAGACAGACCCATAACACCGCTTGGACATGACTAGTACAAGGCTGGATGCACTCAAATGCAAAATGTGTGTGACTATCAAGTTGCTTTTCGTGCACACGTGAGAATGGGCAAAAGGATATTAATGCAAGCATTTGTAAGACAGGAAGTTTTGATGGCATGTACTCTGGCATAGCAGCAGTAGCAATGTACGTCTAGCATGAATGATAGTTCTGCTTTAATTGTGGCCTTTTAACAAAACTTCTCACACACAAAAAAAAAATTACTGGAAATATCAGGACTGTAGAGATACAATTAAAAATCCTCTAGTTGCTACTGAAAACACAACAGTAGGAGAGTTGCTTTGAAAAGGCTGTCAGTGAATATGAGATATTCATCTCCCCTGGTACCTTCCTTAGACAAGCTACAGCAAGCAGCTCACAGTATTCATTGTCAAAGTACATTTCTTCTGTGCTTTTGTGCATGGAGTGTTATGCACAGACTTAGAAAAAACCATGGCAGAAATCCCAATCTCTGCATGCCTCATGTTCCCTTTCTACCTATTACCCAGAGAGAGTGTAGTTTCCTGCGATGACAAGACTGGAAGGGATGTGGAATGGAGGCTCATAGTGGGTGTTAGATGTGATCCTGGAGTGAGAAGCAAGACAGTGGCAACCAAGAGCAAAGCATCTTCCAGGAAGGCTATCGAAGTGCCATGCTCTGCTGGACAATACAAGCCCGCAAGCAGTGCAGCACCTTTCCTGCTCTGCCTGGCCTGGAACTGAGGAGCTGCAGAGATGCCCAGAGGTGAGGGTGTGGAAGGTGAGCAGTGACTGTTGGCAGAGAACAGGCAGCACTAGGTTGGCATGGAGCAAGATGCCTTCTGTGAGCAGCTCTGGACCTCTCCCACAGGCAGCATGGGGATGACCAGGGCAATGCAAATTCACGTGAATGTGTGATTTCACTATATAGATAAGGTCCAGGCTAGGGAAAACTAATAAGCAAACAACAGAAAAGGAGATCCTATAGAAATCAATTATTTTTAACATGGTCTGTTGGGTTTTTATTTCTTGTCACTGGTGTTCTGTCACAAATGTGACAACAGTTATTGGCTTCACAAAATCACAAAATGATGGAATTACTGAATCACCAAGGTTGGAAAAGACCTACAAGATCATCCAGACCAACTGTCCTCATAGCACCAATAGTTTTCATTAAACCATGTCCCTCAGTACAACATCTATATGGTTCTTGAACACCTCCAGGGTTGGTGACTCCACCACCTCCCTGGACAGTCCATTCCAGTGCCTGTCCACTCTTTCGGAGAAGTAGTATTTCCTGACATCCAACCTGAAACTCCCTAGGTGCAACTTGAGGCCATTCCCTCTCGTCCGATCACTAGTTACATGAGAGAATAGGCTGACAGTACTTATAGAGTTATGTATATAGACCTCCTTAATAAATATCAAAACAACAGAGTTGAACTGTACAGTTTTTTGCTATTTCTAATTTTGTTTTTAATACAGCTGAGTGTTTGGCAGAAAAATTCAGACATGAGCTGCACTATTTTTTTCTAGACATAGTTGACAAAACATATAGGTCACTCCAAGAGTAATGCTTCTTATTTATTTCCATGGAAACTACAAGGGATACAAAAAAGTACAACAACACTATTTGATAGATCAAATTCTCAACCACAGAATATTATTTTTCAACATAGTCACCACCACTTGCTTATGCATTTTTGCCAGCAATGAACAAGAGCCTGCCATGTCGCACTCAAAAAAATCTGTACCAGCAGAGGTGACCCAGTTTCACAGCTGCTATGGTGACATTATTACTAGGAAAATTTTGCCCATGCAGTCCATCTTTCATTGGCCTAAACAGATGGAAGTCAAAAGGCGCCAGATCCAGATTATATGGTGAGTGTGGTAGGACAGTCCAACCAAGATTGGCAGTGTGCTCCACAGTCTTCAAACTGGTATGGATTCTGGTGTTATCGTGTTGCAAAAGAATGGTTCTCTTCTCCTCTGATCTAACTCTGAAAGTTCAAGCCTCTGGCTTAATCAGTGCTGTGACACAGCAGTCAGAGTTGATAGTTTATCTAGTTTCAAGGAAATTCAGAAGAATCACCCCTTTGTATCCCAAAAGACAGTGCACATCACTTTACTGGCTTAGGGCTGTGTCTCAAACTTTTTCTTCAGTGGGGAATTCACGTCATCACTCCATGGATTGCCATTTTGACTCTGGCTCATTGTGGTGACACCACATCTTGTTACTGGTAAATGATGTGACCTAGAAAAATGTCACCTTCAGCCTCACATTTGTTCTATAGGTCTGACAAACTTTCTTATAGTGCTGTTTTTGTTCCTGTGCAAGCATCTGTGGGACCCACCTGTTGCAAATGTTGCAGTATTCCAACACTGACACCATTGTTTCCAATGCATTGAAGCTCTGATATTTAGCTCTGTACGCAGTTCCATGCTCCTAATCTTCCAATTAATGTGGATGAGCTGATTGAGAAGTTCTTCATTTCATGATGTGACAGCTGTACATGGCCGTCAGGAATGTGGCTTGTCTTTCAAGTCACTGTCACCACTGCTGTGATGACACCCACCTCCTCACTGTGCTTACACCCACTGTTTGGTCTCCATAAACATTCAGCAAGCATTGATGAATGTCAATGGGAGCAATTTTTTTCCACGTGAAGGAATTCAATGAGACATCTTCTCTTCATCTGCACTTCCACATCAGATACCATTCAATCAGATTGCCCCGCTGCTGCCATGTGTCACATGGCAACAAAATGTAACAATACTGATGAGAAGGTCCATCCTATGCTACCATACCACCAATGTCTGCCTTTGATGTCGTGGATCAACATAATAAAATAGGAGGCTGAGCATGTACAGCGGTGTGGTAAGATTTTATATTTTACTGTAAATCCTATTTTCTATTCTTTGTTTTCAAATTTCACTGTACATAGTCCTTACGCTTTGCATTAGTACTCTGTGAAAATATTTGGCCAGTCATTGACTCATTTTGCTGATGAAGAAGCCCAGGAAGGTGCTAGAAGCACCGCTGCTAAAAAGATAGAGATACCTGAATGTGAAAGCCTGTCCCCATCAGCATTGCTGATCTTTCAGAGGAGCAAAAATCAACCACCTCAAGTCCTCAACAGATGATGAAGTGGGTAATACATATGGCCAACCATTTGAAGTGTTTATTCATTTATATGCCTCTTATATACCAGGGATTGAAGAAAACATCCTTCCTCTATTCCTTCCAAACTAGGATTGATGTTCTTTGTATGTTCTACAGCGGCACAGTGATTTTATAATGTACCACTAAAAAGGGAAGCTGGTTTATGAACATCTGAAATGGCTGTCACTGCAGTTTTCTTTCTATTGCCTCCTCTGCAATAGTATCCTCCAGGTAGCTTTCAGAAGCTTCATGCTTCTTCTTGAATATCTGCCCTCCGTGTTCACCTCTTCCTTCTGCTCCTAATTCTTTACTTTTTCTCTAGCCCTGGCTCCTGAAGACCTCATCTTGCTTTTTTTTTTTTCTTCCTTTTTTTTTCTTTTTTTTTCTTCTTGTCAAAATACTTTACCTAAGCCTGGGTTTTTATCATTCATATCGATAACTGTAGTAGGACAGCAAGGACACAAAGTGACTTACTACTTTCCTGAGCTGGCTCCCATCTGAAGACATTGAAGTTCAAAGTGGTTTGACTATGCCTGTGCCAGAAGAACAAAAAAATCAGTGATATCATCAGTAAAGAAATTAAAAACCTTGCAGAACTCTCTTCTTGTCATCTCCTTTCATCCCTCATCCCCCAAAACCTACCTGTGGCAAAGCAAGTCTTGAAGAGTGCAACATCTGAAATAACGCTTGCAGTTTCTGTCCTTGGGAGAGATTGCCATTCTTGCTGCATTTCAACAAATCTTGCTCCAGTTTGGGATTCTGTTGCCTATGTCACTTTCAGTCTCAGCAGTTCTTCAGCATGCTTAGCTGTCTTAAAGTTCTTGGAACCATCAGGTAATATTAGACACATATATGAGTATTTCAATGACTAGATAGTGAAAATAAATTGTTCAGCAATCATTAATCATTACAGAGAAGTGTGCTCGGCTGGTATACTGGGTCTGTCAAGCGGGCTTGGAGGAATACAATAGTTGAGGTTTCCACGTGAATCAGAGCATATCCTGCAATGGGCTGTACTGCTACAGGGCTCACCCAAGCACAGCCATTCTTCTCAGAGCTGGGGTTGTTTTTCCTAAGTTCTTCAGTACTTCTCTCCAGTTTACAGCAATGGCCCGTAGCTGTCAGCTACATTTTAAAGCAATTTTCTTGTAAAATAGATGCTTTCCAGCTGCAGAGGAATCCAATCCTCATGTCTTCAGATCTGAATTTTGCAGTGATTTGGAACTGGCTCTTGACAAGCTGTGCATCATTCTATCCAGGTTGGATACCTCTTAGATTTAAAGGCTCTCAAAACATTTTGACTTTGATACACTTATATCAATACTGTCCCCATCCCAGATGGCTCACATGTTAAAATAATCTTTTTAAGAGCTGAAATACTGAGCAGTCTGCAACCTCCTTGCTCTGGGTTTCCATACAGCTCTGGAAGGCTTCAGTACCGAACAGTTGCTCCGCCTGCAATGTCTCCTTGGTACTGCTGGGTAAGAGAGAAAGATCTAGAAACCCAAAGGACAGTGCAGTAAGCCATTGCTGGTTCAGTCCTCTTTGCTACTGTGCTTCCTGCACTGCATCCATGAAGGTGAGGCATAACATGCCTCTGTGACAAGACTGAGTACTGCATGCCCAACCAACATCAGCTCTTCTTCACCGAGCAGCAGAACTTTCAGGTTTTCCATTTGTGTGTGTGTATCTTAATTCATCCAACTCACCTCTTCTTTTTATATAGTGGTGTGACACATCTTTCTTGCTATTGGCTGGATCAAAATTAGATCACACAAAAAGCATGCTTTGGTGTAGCTCAGTATTCAGAGGAATTAAAGTCAAAAGAGGTTTACTGGAAGGCACTCAGATGCCAAGAGGTATTAAATAACAAGATTTTATCATGTATGTAATTATTTATTGAGCTGAGAATCCATACAAGGTAAACAAATGTTTACATTATCATACAGTAAGCATTTCCAGGGCTTAATAAAAATGATTGTCACTCACTGTGCTTCACAAAAAAATTCATTTTAATGAATAAATAATTTGATGAAATCAAAAAATATTTACAATATAAACAAATGAAAAAGCTTTGGATATATTAATCTGAGCATCCTGTATTTTGCATTTGTCTAACTGCATTTCTACCAAGATTCTCTCTCTGAAATGGTACAAAGTGGATAGAAATTACAACTCAAAAAAGTTAACATGATTTGGTACGTCTTTCCATTAGTTCAAATAAGCTACATATGATTCATTTATTATGCACGTGTTAGAATGCAAATATAACTAAAATCATATATTATCAAAATGCCAGATAGCATTCTCCACAGAACAAAAATGTACACTAGGCCATGACAATAACTGAGAATCACAGGCGACAAAATATAACGAAGAGTACAAATTCCTTCATAAGAATATAATTGTGCTCTCTTATTTACCAGAGGACTATGCTGCTTCACCACATCGATGGCTACATATGAATACAGTGTTCAACGACTGCCATGTGGTTTGGTGTATGCTCATATGGGTGCCAAGCAGCGGCATTAATAGTGGAAAATGGGCAGTGCAAGCAGTTTTATGAACACCTCGTTGGGCTCTTAAAAAGAGCCAGTTATACAAAGCAGTAGAAGCGTAACACTGAGAAGTCTTCATCTCATTGACACAGATATCATGAAACGGCTTGCTTTGTTTGTGGTGGTGGAGAGAGGAACAGTGCCTGCGCTGTTTATGCCATCAGCCAGAATTCAAGTATTCCAAAGCCACTTCATAGCAGAATTTGTATTGATCCTGAAAAATCAAGACAACCACAAAGTCAATTATTGAAGGAACTTAATTAAGGGGATCAATATTTCTCTTCTGTTAAAATTATTTACAATCAGCTATGGGTCTATTGGAACCAGTTTGCAAATCAATTTTATATTCAAATAAGAAAATCTTTACATTAACCAGACAATAGACACTACGCACACAATAATTTACAGTACTGCTCCTATTAGTCGTGTCGTTAGCTGCTCTAATACACTTGTATGAGAGAAATTGACTACACATAAGTAAATTGACTTGCAGCCCTTTAGTCATCTGTCAAAATGCTCACATAGCGCTTTGCCGGAATTGGAGTTATTGAAGTTCGTCCATGGAAACGTTGATCTTAAAACAGACCCAATGTCTGATGCTTTCCAGTGCATAACTCCTATTTTCAAACAATCATAAAATCATTTGAGTTGGAAGGGACCCTTAAAGGCCATCTAGACCAACTGCCCTTCAATGAACAGGGACACACCTACAGCAGATCAGGTTGCTCAGAGCCCCATCCAGCCTGACCTTGTGTGTCTCCAGAGATGGGGCATCCACCACCTCTCTGGGCAACCTGTCAGAGGTGGTGGATGTTCTGTCCCTAGAGACCTACCAGCATCTGAGCATCAAAATACTCAAGATGCTCACTACATGTCAATGTGAAGTCTGCTCACTGATCTTCCTCTAGATGTAACTGAAACTCACACTGAAGTACTGTGCACCCTCAGTACAGTACGACAGGAGACCAGGCCAGATCTGAATTAATTGGACCTTTTCACATTCATTTTCAAACTGTTAATGGTGATGTGTATTTTAGGGTCCTAACAGCTCTTCTGTTAACCAGTCTAAGTTTCCAGGTACCAGTCCTGCACTTTAAACACAGAATTGCTATTTCCATTTGCAATGGCTGAGAAGCTGGTCCAGATCCAGGGAAATCCCAGTCTGCACCGTGAGATGAACAGTCATGACTTTATCCTCTTCACATCTTAAGTGGCACAAAGAGGTCAGTGCTTTTGACTGACTCTCACCCACAGGGCAACTTTAAGGGATGTGATACTTTGGGTCTTAATAATTTTGTGCTCACACATATCCCTCTTCCTACTCGGAATATTTAGCAATGCTACAGGCATTTAAATGAAATAAAAATGCCAAAAGAAATAGGTGTGGGTTCTTTGAATGCAAGTGTGTTCTAACAATTCACAATCACCATTTTATGACTACTTCTGCCACCAAGATGCCTCTCTCTATTACACACTTTAATCAATTAAATATTTAGCCGAGCATGTAGGGAGATTACAATTACATTCCAGATATATTCTCCTTTTTATTGAAGAAAACATTATAAAGGATTAAATCTAATGGCCTGCACTTGTAATTTTGGGTCACTTCTTAGCTGAAAAGTGAGGCCAACTTAAAATTTAAGAGGCCAAACAATATCACAGTGATCAAAAACCCAGAAAAAAACAGTGACGATATTAGAAGTCCTTTTGTTGAAGCTGTCACTTTAAAAGAAAGCAAACCCTAAGTGCTTATGTTGTCTAAGTCATGAATGAAACTCATGTTAGGCTTTAAGACCCTGCAGGGTTCCATAAACTGCTCGTGTCTTCTTCAGGATGAGAAAAGATAAAAAAGAAAAATTATGCAATTTTTTTTCTATATATTATGTACATTCTTTTCTACTTTTATGGAATATGTTTTTAAATAAATGGCAATTGTTCTACAGCTACAATACAGAGATCAAAACAAGAGATCAGCCACTTATCCACTGCCATTTTTCCTTGCTCACTTTACGCTGATTTAGTGCTCTAGCAGAACTGTCATTTTTATTAAACCTGTATTTTATAAACCTGTGTTGAAGAGTCATTTTTTATTATTTCCCACTGTCCTTAGTACTTTTTTATTATTCACTTGATGACTAATATGAAAAGTTTATTTATGTTAGCTGGCTTCAGAGAGGAATATTGATGTTTCTTTCTAGGCCAACCACTGGTAGGTCCAACAACATTTCTAAGAAAATGGTTTGTACATGCTGTAACAGACATGTTGCAACACCAAATGCCTTTGTATGTTGGCTGAACAATTTCATAGATTTTTCCGCACTGAAAAGATGTGGCATTCAGATTTTTACACTTGCAAGAAAGCCAATGGTTTCACTGAAATTAAGTGACGAATCTCTACGTATGGACTGCAAAGACCATCCTTCCTCTGATCATAAGGTATGTAACTGGTTTATATAAAGCAGTCTTGAAGCTGTTTTCGTCAAATACTATTATAACTCTGAACATTCCATCTCTTCTAACAGCATTTTACAGAAGCAGATGAATATTACCGTTCTCATTTTTCAGATGGGCAAACTGAGGCAGAGACACATAATAAAGGTCAAAAAGGATGAAATCAGTAACAGGCTCAGGATAAGAATGGAAGTGTCCACATTCCCTTTTTACAATAGAAAAATCAATGTGAAAATTCCCTTGAACCTTGCTAATTCAAGTTGTGCTAATTCTACTTTGTCAGTGGATTATGAGATAATGGAAAAAATCCTGATCGTCTCCTACCTTAGTTTCTCTATTGGTAAAATACAAAAACCAATACTGCTCTCCTTCCTAAGTGCTTTGAAATCTCCTAGTGACAAAACCTTACAAAGGCTTCTCAATGCCATCCAAACATTCTTAGACCACCCCCAATTTACTAAGAGTTATTTTTATATTCTAAAATAATACATCCAGCTTTTGATTAAAAACATTCTGTGCTGAAAAATGGAGACAGCTGCCTGACAAGTCTATACCTGGGAACTGTCAAAAACGAGAATTTATAGAGAGCATTTTCTTCAACTGTACATCTTCACACTGGTAATTTTCTTTTTATTTCTATAAAATAAATGAAGAAGAGATCAGTGAATTCTGTGGACTTAAGCTCTGGGAGAACCAAAACCAGCAGGCCTGCCAAGTCTCTATCCAAAACTATACTATCTGAAAGAAGAAGTAGACATTTATCTTAATATCTGGGAAATAAAAATGTATGGTTCTCAGCATGATGATTCTCCTCCTGAGAATACAAACCAGAGGAAGAGGAGCCAAATAAGCTGCTCCCTCCCACCTCTGTGAAAGCTTGATAGTTTCTCACTGTTACAAGATTCACAGTTTCACATTCCTGGCTTGTGGTCCCACAGTGCTAGTTGTGAACTCCCTCTTTGCTTTGCACAGCTGGTAACATCTGGTTTTTTGCCATGAGCTTGGCTAGAACAGGGCCTAAGGGAAGGGTTGGGACTTTTTATAGAATCACAGAATGGCTTGTGTTGGAAGGGACCTCAGAGCCCACTCAGCCCCAACTCCGTGCCATGGGCAGGGCTGCCCCCCAGCAGCTCAGCTGCCCAGGGCTCCATCCAACCTGGCCCTGAGCACCTCCAGGGATGGGGCACCACAGCTTCTCTGGGCAGCCCATTCTTTTTCAGGTAGCCTAGATGTAGATGAGAGGGACCTGGGGAAAAGCTGTATTTATGGCCCAGGTATGAGAATAGGATAACACGCTTCAGCCATCTCTGAGTACAGAACTACACACTGGAGCGTAAGAATTTGCTGCTTTAAGCTGTTCTGCAGCTCTCGTGGAGTAGCAGCTGGCACTTCAGCAATTCGCCATTACAAAAAAAACACTCTCTAAGAAAATAATTGCACATGGCCCCTTGTTTCTGAACTTCTTTAATCTTTCTATGAGATAGAGCAACCATAATTAAATGCAATATACTGGATGTCAAACTGAAATTCATGGCTTTGATAAATACTTGGCGATTAAGCTATTTATAATATATATAATTTGAAAATCTGGCATTTCATTTTACATAACTATTATTTCAACCCATGCAAGGGCTGCTCTCCACTTGGCTCAGCCTGCTAGAAAGGAAAATTAATAAGGATGTTCGACTGAAAGTTTAAAACTCTTAAAAAATTCAAATGAACAGAGACAAAGTCTCATTGGGAAGAAAGCAGTGTAAAAATACTCTTACAAGTGAAGTGACTTCATTATCCCCTTTGAAAATGACTTGCTTGCTTTGTGAACAACTCCCACTGCAAATCTTGGAAATCTGACTGAATCTTCTGAGAAAAAGGAACATTTTCTATTTAGTGCAGCAGTTAAAAAGCTCATACCAGAAGGTCCACCATGTTAGGCTTATTATTTCTCAGTGTCTTCACAGCATGGAATACATCAACAGCCCTCTGATGTTGAAGCATTTCACAAACAATACTGATTGCACAAAACGTCCCACTGCGGCCACCTCCATTCCTGTAAGAAAAGTAAAAAAAAAAAAAAAAAAAGGGCTCGGTTACAAATTGACTATATTACAAGTTCTTACAGCGCCAGGAATGGCTACAGAAGGTATGAGTTCCACCAGGGAGAAAACAAAGAACACGAATGTGCCTGAAGGCGGCTGAACTCTAAGCTGAGTGCTGTTTTTAATTGGAATTAATGGGCTGAATGATCTCAAACCTATCATCCAGCATCCAGGAGGCTGAAAGCCTGAAGGGAACTGAGTGGCTGAGTTTTGTGCCACTCTCTTTAGTGAAGTTTTGAGGCAGCATGAAGAGAATGTTAAAATAAGAACAAGGTACTTTTAGACTTAATTTAACACCCTTTTGCACTATAAATGCGCAAGGATGTAATATCAGGTTAGAAACATTATAGAGAAAGAGGATCTTTTAAGGTTCTTTTAATTGCTGATCCTGGCTCCTTCTTCCTGTACCGAAAGGTTCAGAAAGGTACCAAAGGTTCAGAAGAACAACAGAAATGGTGTCTGATTTGCTTACAAGCTATTTGGCTATGCTTTTAGCATGGTCCAAGGTGTGGCTGTGATATTCTGGTGACTGATGTGTCCACCCCGCAGCAGCACGCACAGGCACTGGCTGCACTGTAATAGCTGCTTCTGGAAGTGACTGCATTCCTCCTCCACCCATACCACCAGAGGACAAGAACCCAAAGAGATTTGCCAACAAAGATACCAGGCACAAATGCTCATTTGCATGATCAAATATAGCCTTTAATAATACCTTATGCCTAGTTAATCTTTAGGAGAATCTCTTTCTTGCTGGAAACCCTACTACTTCTATAGCTATTCTAATCAGAATCTTTAGGCTGCACTTCACCAAAAATAATAAACCTTACTAATTACAAGAGTGTAGCCTAGTTAGGTAGATGGTCTTTCAAACCAGCTTTGGAAATGGCTGATTTTCAAAGGAAGCTACAATGTCTCACATCTGTCACATCCCAGCAGTATGAAAAGAATGCACTCTGCTGCCAAAACATTGCCTGATATTGTAGGACTCTTTGAGAATTTTAATTAAAATAAAGTCATTTAAAAGGATTATATTAGGGCTTTTTCTTTCTTTACTGCCTGGAAGTGACGCATGTGTGATGTTGTACAACTATTTAATATCATCAGCCACCTCAGAGATAACAGTAATTTGCACTTCAAAAGGGTCTTTTCAGCTAAAGATCTCAAAACATTAATTAATCACACTGCACAATGCTCCTTTGATGAAAGTATTATTATCCCCATTCTACGGATGGGGAAACTGAAGAGCAATGACTTGTTCAAGGTCAGTGATAGTAGGAATTATTAATGTACTTTCTTCCATCGTTGTAATATTGATTAACTGCAAACCCAAATTCAGGAAGTTATTGTCTACTCTTGGGTTCCAACTTCTGAAAGCATCTTAGCATGTGCTTTTCACATGAACATGTCCTTCTCCATCATGGTAGCATCTTTAAGTAGATCTTCAGAAGGAGAGGGATACAATTTCAGGCATGAAGATTTAATCTCAGAAGACCAACGAATGCTGAGAACAAGCAGCATGTACATGTATTAAGCCATATCAAAAGGCAGGACGGTGGATGAGAGCCTGTACCCGTGGAGCACAAAAGTGACCAGAGGACAAAAATATGTATCATTGTGAGAGAAGGGTAAGACAGTCAAAGGGCCATCATAACTATTCTACCAGACCACTTTTATTTCCATGACTTACATCTCGAAGAGGAATCATTCCCTACAGTATTGTTTATTCCTACCATTAACGAACTGTAGATGGCACTGAATAGAAATAAGAAGTGCATTGTCCTGAAGGTACAGTTTTTTGATTTACTAGGAAAAAATATGCACCGTTTTCATTTGGAAACGTCACTTGAAATCTTTATATAATATAGAGTTTTACCCATCATCTTTTCACAGGTGTCTACCAAGAGACAGAGTGGGAAACTCATGAATCTACATAAAAAAAAGCATACAATTTCCTTTGTCTTCAGAGCTTTTAAATGAGCAGCTGTATTATTTATTCAGATCCTGTACCTCTTCACCTTCTCATGAATCTTTAAAAATGTGGCACAAATACTAGGATAACAGTATTCTTCTCACTGGTCCCTAGTACTTACAAGCAATGGACAACTGTGCGTCCCTCTCCCCCATTGTACTCCTCCTGCCACTTCTCCACCTGGCGGATGAGCTTCAAGAATGAGCGTTTGGAAACCGGCGTGTCCCTGTACATGGGCCATCCCAGGAACTGGAACTGCTGCACCATCCGATAGCCGTCCTGGGGCTGCAGGAATTCAGGAAATGAGGAGAAAAAGAAGGAACAGCATTGCTTATGGTCTATTCAAATAGTGCGTAACTCAGATATTTGCATCAGCGAGAAAAGTTTTTGGGCAAATCACCACTGACAAACTACTAATGCAATTTCAATTGCCCGTAAAGAGTTATGACTTTTAATTTCCAACCGAGCTATTAGGACAAGAGGTTTTAAATAGAGGGTATACAAACAGACTAGAAGAGAGCAATGGTACAGCAGCAGGATCAAACAAACAATTAATTAATATCATAGCAGAGGAGCTGCAATACAATTATGTAAGCATTTCAGCATTTTGAGAAACATTTGCACTCTTCTGTCTTTTTTACAAGAAAGGTCAAAACCTCTCTAAATAATTTGAAGCAGGAAATGTTTTAAAAACCAAATGAAACCCTCAGATTTTTCCTGTTTATAAAAAAAAAAAACCTAAAGTTTACTTTACTGTGTGTTACTGAAGCAGTCAGAACCCCTCTGGTGAGATGTTACTGAACAGTTGCTTTATGGTGATTTAAAATAAAAAAAGGAGCACAGAACAAGTGTTAGTGGCAGAAAATTACAGTCCTTTGAAAAGGGCATAATAAACACACAGATGAAAACTGGTTTTGTAGTCTAGGATTTGCCATTTTCACTTCTGGCAAAGTGAATGCATTTTAGTACCACTTTTAAAATGAGCAATGTGAAGAAACGTTGACATTACCAGTTTTGCTCTAGAGTAAGAGGCAATAGAGAGGATGTAAGATTAACAAGGTAAGGGAATAAACCAAGTATTAGATATGTTCTTCATTGGTTTTGTCTGCTTTATGTGAAATTTGGATTCCACTACTTTCCTGTCCAGTTTCTTTCAATTGCGTACCCCTTCTCCCCAAATGGCATCAGCCAGACCCAGCTTCTGCTACAGCTCCTATTAACACTCTTGGAGACTGTGGTGTTACGTTGCCACATTTTTTGGGAATGCAAGACCTTTGTCATACAGGACAAGGGGAAATGGTTTTAAGCTGAGGGAAGGGAGATATAGGTTGGATGTCAGGGGGAAATTCTTTACGGAGAGAGTGGTGAGGTACTGGAACAGGCTGCCCAGGGAGGTTGTGGATGCCCCGTCCCTGGAGGTGTTCAAAGCCAGATTGGATGGGGCCCTGGGCAGTCTGGTCTAGCATTAGGTGGAATGGTTGGTGGCCCTGCACATGGCAGGGGGGTTGGAGATTCATGATCCTTGAGGTCCCTTCCAACCCTGGCAATTCTGTGATTCTGTGATTCTGTGATACAAAAGAAGTACCTTGAAGCTTACAGTCTACTCCTCTGTCTGCATAGGAGCATCCCAGGGAGTGTTCTGGGGGCCTTCTCTCACTGTTCTGACAGCTATTGGACTCCATGGCAGCTCCTGACATTTTAACAGAGTGTGTTTCTTACTCCTACATGTAGTTCTTCAGGGAACAGTATCAGCCCACTGCAAAAGCTCTCTCCAGCTGGATGGGAAGAGATGCCTGGTCTGTGGCTGAATCCTTTTTCCACTCAGCTTTAAATTGATGCCTAATTTAGTCTTCTGTCAACTTTATAGTAGCATAAAAGCTGGATACAAGAACGTACTTGTCCCTGTGAAGTGCTTACATCTATTATGAAGTGTGATTAGTGGGATAAGATCTGCACTAAAAGCCTGGGACTAGTATTGAAAAACATGCCTAGTGTTGCATGATACAGGATAATAAACATATAAGATGGCTAATTTAAAACTCTTAAATTAAAACTGTACTGAGTTCACCATTTTGTGGCTACCAGATAACCTCAATACTGCATTTATTTCATTTGTATTTAATGCACTTGAGATATGCATTACAATATTTTTCAATTGCACACACAAGAGTTTTTTCTCAATGATTACTGTGTGATCAAACCATGTGGATATGGCACTGAGGGACGCGGTTAGTAGGCATGGTGGGGATGGATTCATGGTTGTACTGGGTGATCTTAGAGGTCTTTTTCAACCTTAATGATTCCATGATTCTATAAATAGGCTGAAAAATGAGAATGGCTTTATGTGAGTTTAACTTTCTTTTCGTTGTGACTTGGATAGAGTCAGCTGAATCACTGAGGCAGAATTGTCTTGCGAGTAACATCCTTACTCTGGCTGCATTATAAATTCGGAATATCCGGCTGATGATGTCTTCTTCTAAATCAGCTGATACAAACTCCACCTGAATAGGACCATGTCGGTGTACTCCGTTTTCTGGCCAGTACTGAGGACACAACTACAAATACAAAAAGCACATATAATTACTTTTAACGTAATGCTGCCTCAATATATTTTTTAAGATACATTGTGCTACTTTTATTGCAGAAATTCTTACACAATTTCTATATGAAATATACAGTGCACTGTCCTTCACTATTTACAAGCTCTGATTTTATCTGAGCAGACCAAATTTCAACAAATGTCTTTTTACTTTGCTGAACATCTTATTGCTTGCTGCTCTGCTTGCCATTTGGAGAAATGTATTTCTGATGCTCAGCATCAATTCTACCATATGGTATGACAGGACAGGGGATGCTGTCAAATATTACCAGATCTTGGAGACAGTACGAAGCCTAAGACCAAAGGCCTGGTATCTTCAACTGTCTGAAAAAAGTTGATAATAATTCAAGCTACATCAAAATGTGGGCTCTCTATAAGCAGTTCACCAAGTCTCAAAATTCAGGATCTCACTTTCACACCTGTCTCATCTGTGAGTGGCGATACTGGCATTATATATGTAGGTTGTTCCAAAAGTAATGCTTCCTATTTATTTCCATGGAAATTATAACAGATACAAAGAGCACAATAACACTATCTGACAGCAAATTCTCAGCTACAAAACACTATTTTTCAACACAATTACTATCATTAGCTTTGCATTTTTGCTGCTGATGAACAAGAGCCTGCATGCCATGCTCATCAAAATCTGCACCAGTAGAGATGACCCACTGCTGAAACGGACCACTCGACACCTCAATGAGTTCACATCCACTGTGATGTGAATAGGAGGTATTACTTTCAGAGCAGCCCTCATATGTTACAGCAGCATTGTTTTACATTTTCAGCAACTGCTTAATTGCACCTTATGAACACCACTTGGAAATTGTACTTATCTTTTAGTGCTCAGATAACATTACTTCCAGGTATCTAAAGATCACAAAGCAGCATTAGCATTATCCTGCAGTTTTACTGTCTAATAAAACCATGATGGCTCCGTCCTGGAACCCGTTATCCTCTCTCTTTTAAAGATTAAAACAACACTTTGCTTGGAGATATTTGAAGCTACACTTTGCTTATCAATTTCTTCCATAAAAACCCTAATGATTTATTTTTAGGGATACCTAGAGTAGTTCAAGCAGACAGCTTTTGCAAGCATTCACCAAAATTAAGCATGAACTCATGAAATTTTGTTTGCTCGCAGAACCATTGATCTCATATTTGGAACTTTATTTCATTTGGTAGAACAGCTGTGGTCCTCATTCTGCTGCATTGCTGTTGGTGATCCAGAGCAGAGCTGACAAATCGCATCTCCTCCAGATGTTGTTTTGCATTTCGTGTAACACTTATTCCTCAAAAAAGCCATTTGGAGATGACTACATTTTAGGAAAACATAATCATTTACTACATCAATTAAAAAGAGAACAGAGTCTGATTTGCTAGGGTTCACTTTAACAAGTAAAGAACAGAATTTTCAAGTAGGAAAATATATTTTAATTTATTTTAAAATCCCCACATGATTCAGTCTGCTGAGCAAATTGCTTTCCAAATATTGCCTAAATCTTACACATTTCTTCTACTATGAAATACACTAGTGTGCAGGATAACACAATACAATACTGACATGCATGCAACTAATGCAAATACCAGCGCTCAGATCACTGAATGTATGCACAATTCAGTATGTGTCTTTCAAATACATAGCAATACTGTTCAAACAGATCTTTGAAAAATGCTTAGATGATAATAAACAGAGCTGTTTGCCAGAGCTGTTTTTGGAAGCCAAGATTTTCAAGTTCTAAAGAAATCCAAAAGCATTTAGGTCTGAGCATTTTGCATGCGTGTGATGCCAGAGACTCTCTTTAAGTCAGAGCCACTTTGAAGGGCTGAATTTCATTTCCCAACAGAATGCAACCATCCAGATGAATTGTAATATCTAAACAGAAATGTAAACACTTCATATATACATAAATAATAATGATAACGGTAATTATTAATAGATCTGAATGTAATGTGTGGTTTTAATAAACTCTGCCCTCTCTCCACTCCCGTTTGCTCTGAGGGTTTTCAGATTTATTCCTAATGAAAAGATTTTTACTCACATTAGTGGGAAAAGGTTTAACATGCTGCAGAGGCAGGTGTATTAACTGCATATCCCAATAGCTTTTAAAAGCCTGTGAGGCTAATAAATGCTTGAAATAGCTGTGCACTATTGTAAATTCAAAACACAGCCCACAAATTAAAAGAACTCTGTTCTCCAGTCCCTTGCAGTCTGACTCCCTTGAGTCCTTCCTTATTCACTCAGAAACTAATCTTAGACTCATGAATAAAAGTTTTGTCTTTCATTTCTATTTTTCTCCCTGTAGACAGCAAAGTCTTTAAAACAGTGTGTGGAATTCCTACACACTACACTTGAAAGACCAAACTGATGATTAGTATGTTTTTAAAACAAGTTCTTCATGTTAAAATGAAATAAAGAAAACATTTTTCAAGGTATGAAAAATATTCAAGAGAGCTAAAAGGTTCTTGATCATGTAAAGAACAAAAATGACAAGCAATCTGCTGTAAAAAAATAAAAATTGATGTTATCTTTTCCAATAATTAGCAAATATTAAGGATCCAGATTACCACCACTTTATTCCAGCGGAGGGTTGGTGCACTGCATTGAAAACAAGGAAATGATCCCTGTACAAAAATCTGTATTTGCACAGTTGCAAGCCAGGCTCTGGGATGCTCAGTGATTAATGCTAGTGAATAAATTGCTAAGTCAGTATGTATGGTTTTCCACTTTTCTAAAGAACATGTACAGCATGCACAACTCTGTTGTAAGGTAATTACATTCCCCTGTATGTTCCTTTGTCCTGGTTGCTCATCCGGAGGATGCTTAGTGTCTGATATTGTTCAGTTCTTATCTCCAAACAATGTAATGTTGTGCCAAAGACAACACAGATTTGCAGGCTGGGAACACCCATCCCTGCGGGCAGACCAAGGTCACGGACCTGTCCCACGCAAGTCAGTGAGGAGCTGTTGGCTTCTGCTTGTGACTTTTGGCCATGAGTTTGCTTTAGACTTGAGTAAAAAATATACAACCAAAAGATTTTGGTTTTTAACAGCTCTTCTCAGAGTATGCTTTTTTATCAGAATAAATTATGGTTGCATACACTTATGTGTGTGGGCATTAACATTTTGGTGGAGAAGCTGCTGATGCTCTGATTTATTCCTCCTTCCCTATGCGTATCCGCAAGCTACAAATCAATTTTTTAATGTGTTAGTATTTAATGTTGTTTTATACGACTAATTACATCCTAAAGCTGTTCTGTTCTGAAACACACACGTGCTGCGATGCTGAGGCACTGGCATTTCTCTGTCAAATAGAAGTGCTTGGACTTACTTGGGCTGGATCCACGTCATTCAGCATAACTATCGAAGTGCAGTGATAATCTAGGACCAGCCTCCAGAAATCTTTGACAGTATTTGGCAAGGGATGCTGCGTAACTATAAAGGCTGATGGTTGCTTGTAGCTCTGCAAAGAAATAAGAATAGATGGTTAGAGAAGAAGGTAAGAGAAAAAAACTCACTTAGTAGAATGCCAGTAATAGTCTCAAAACTTCAGGACTGAAAACATTATTTCTATTTTCTGTATTGTTTATATGCTATTTTCTGCTCTTTTCTGAGATTTTATATGCTTGAAAATTAATAAACTGAATATAATTTCTGCTGATGTTATATTTCTGAGACTTATTTTATGCCCCAGGAACAGGATAAAATCATCTGAGGTACTTCCCTCCAATGCAACTCCTACAAAATTTTGAGCAACAACTTCGTTTTGAGCTGCTAATGGACAGATTAGTCTTGGCCATCTGCACTGAGCTGTTGATTTGAATTATTCCAATGAAAGGAAGCATCCACTTATTTTTCCAGAAACGGTATTCAAATTCTGGTCTATCTGACAGAAGGGAAGATACCCAGGGGATACATTTCAACATTTGTTGTTGGGTTGTTTTTTTTTTCAGTGAGAGCACATTGCTAGCTATTCTGTTGGTGGAACAGTTGAATTGTGAATCTTGTACTCGCATTTTCATGGCAGTCCTCCTGAGTGTTACAGGCCAGCATGGCCATCCCGGGGCAAATGTTGCCTCCAAAGGAGGGCAAGAAGGCCTCTACACGCCTTCTACAAACAGATATTGAATAACGAAGTGTGCTGGCTGGCCCTTTTTCTTGAAGTGAGCTTATTTAAATGTTCATATGTGAGGTGATCCAACTGCATCTCAGCCAGCACCTTGCCTGAGTGAGATTGAAAGTTTAGAGAGAAGAACAATTGCCTGCTCTTGTCCTTTACCAAACGGATACTGCATGTATTTTGGATGAAAAGTGAGCCTCGGAGCCTTTGACCCAGATACGCTTTTGGAATCAGCTCACTGTTTCAAGAATGAAGCACTTTCAAAGTGTTTCAAGAATCAAGTGTTTTCAAAGCAAACACTCAAGCAGTACTTAATTCGCAGAACAAAACCACACCGAATCCTCCAGTAAGGCCATGTAATGGCAAGATCGTAAATTGCAGATCAAGGAAGCACCATTCTAATATGAGTATATAACAGACTGACTTACAGTGAGAACCAAGAGAAGTCACTTAAACTGTTGCCCTCAGTTTCTCTACATAGATCAATAAAAAGATAATATGCTTTTATTTTCACAGGAGAGTTTTGAACTTAGGCTCATTTTAGGAAAACACTGAGAACTTGGAAGGAAAAAAATGCAACAACTGCTATAAACTGTTGTTACTCCAGCTTCACTTTTCAAAAAGGCCATTTACAATGTGTTCGTTCTTTTCTAACCTCTGCTTTCGTGTTGTTTATGTGTGTGTGACAGCCGTAATTACTATAGCTCTAAATTGTCAAAGATGGGCTATAAATATCTACACTCTGAAGGAGGTTTAAGTGTCTTTTTACTGATACTCTATTAGCAGCATTAGAATTTCTCGAGATGCATTAGGAAAAAAATGCACACACGCATCTAGAGGAACCATTCATTCATACAGAAATAAACAGAAAGACTGAAGTAATGGCTTGTGTATTATCTTGTGCTGACAGACAATTATTATTTTTTGTTAATTACTTCTTAAATTAGAAACAAAGGGAACTGAAATATTGCTGCAAACTGTATTATCCCATTTAACTGTCTCAGAGTCTTAATAGGTAACTCATTTTTTCCTAGGCCAGATGGTAAAAAATTCAAGCACTAGGGAGAAATCTAGATGCATTTAATTTATCAAAACTCCCTGACTTGCTCTCTAAGCATGGCTTTGGAACCTTGGCTTTGACATAACATATGTGTGATCCTATATGTACTTGGGAGCTTAGAGATTTTGTGCCATGTTTTTGGAAAACAAGTTAGAAAGATTTCAGCCTTGTGGTGACTCCACTTTCTGGCACTGCTCAATCTGGAGAGCTCCTTATTCCCTTTTTATTATTAATGATGTGGAGGAGACGACTTACATCCATCAGTGCAGCATTAATGTAGTTGCTGCTCTCCCCATCTATCGTTATGAGGAAAGGCAGGCATCTGTCTGGAGGCAGGACATCCATACAGCGATTCTTTTCATGATTTCGTGGTAAAAGTGCTATACTGCAGTCTTCCACACGCAGTGTTGGAGTCACCATATTTAATGTCTTTCAAAAAGGGTAAACAATACAACAGAGAAATTAACACAGCAGTGAAAGCATCCCAAAATATTTAAGAATAGATCAAGTCACAAATCAGTTTCAGCAGGAGTCAAAATGAAGACAAATGAAAACAAATCACAGTCAGCGGGTTTTGGAAGCAAGAATCCTGGAAGCAAACATATCTGAAAAACAGCCTTGAAGACGAATGGAGACTAACCAGTTTTCTGGAGCAAGGACAGCAGAGGGAATTGACATACATCCTTGGAGTGAAAAGAAGATTTTACTACTACCCCATTGTTTTCTCTGTCGATTTAGTATAACTCAATAGCAATTAGTGACAGGTTATACTCTCTTTTTTTTCTTTTCAGTCTTTCATCCCCCAGGGCCAGCCCCAAATTCACATGGTTATAAGCCAGCACTTAATTAGAAGCCTTTGTATAGCTGAATTGTACAGCTTCTAGGTATGGCTAGCCACAACTTACCCTAAATTCCTCTTTGATCTGGCTGGAGTTAGTTTGAGGATCCAATTTATTCATTTCATAGTAAGCAGACCTAACTTGAGAAGCTGGAATAGATGTGTCTCCACAAAGACAAGCTTCCAGGATAGCATCATGGATAAATACATACTGTTCCTGGTAAAGCAATAAAAATAATTACTGGCAGAGAGTATATACTATTAGTAACTTGGTAAATAAACAATAACGACTAATATGGTTAGCCTATTAATTCTCACAAGCTTTACACACACTGAAGAAAGATCAGATGGAACAACTGCAGTTCACAAAACTTCATGCCATCCATTTAGAAAAGAATATAGAAGGATTGACTGAAATTAGTTACAGTTACAAACAGAAATACAGTAACGTCATAAAACTATGACTGTTCTGTATTCCTCATTCCTTTGCACAGTTCTCACAACTCACAGTTGGAGTTATTGCATAAGTAAGCCTCAACAAGATGCACTGCAGAATGAATGCTCTCTAAAGAGGAAACAATCGTGAGTTTTTTTTTAATCAAACCATTGCAGCATAACAGTGGCCTTGTTTGGGCAACGGCTCCACAAGCTTCTGCGTGGATTATTTTCCTGCATGTCACTGAATAAACTAGCTCCTGGATAGGGTTTATAGCAATGGGCTCTAGTTTTATGGGTCAGAATAATACTTTTCACTGCAAAGCATAAGGCAGTAATCCAGAAGATTAACAATACCTCTGTCTGCACCATGTTAACTCTCCGAGATCGAAGCTCTCGCACACAATTGTATATGTCTACAACACCTTCTCTTTCTGCCATATCTAGCATGATGTCAATAACGATGAAGCACCCAGTTCTGCCGGCACCAGCACTAAAGTAAAAGAAGAGCACAGTTAATATCCATCAGTTCACTGGAAAATGTAAAGCTCCAGAATCAGTTTTGCCAATATTTTGTACGTCAGATAAAAAGTTACTGAGACCAGAGTGGCTTCACCAACTTTTAGGAATCACAGGAGATACAAAAAGCAGAAGTGTGTTCTGAGTTCAGTGGATCACACAACAGAGGGATTTATGTCCTGCCTACCTGCAGTGAACCACCAGAGGTCCAGCGTTTGGCGGGCTCTTGGACTTGACCTGCCGCACAAATCCCAGCAGGCCTGTCGCATGGTACGGCACGCCGTGGTCTGGCCAACCAGTGAAATGAAACTGACGAATTTCTCGAATCTCATGAGCACCTCTCTGTTCAAAAGGTCAAGATTGAAAAAGGAAAACAAGGTGGAATATGACAGAAATTGGACAAGAAATATCATAAGAATGTAGCTCTAAAAGCTTGCGCTCTGCTGAGAAACATCCACCCCCTGCCAACAATCATATCTGGACAAGACTGCTGGAGACCCTTCTGATCGCTGGAGAGCAAGTTCACAGGTCATGTATCAACTGATTTCTAAGCTTTACAAGAAAATACAGTGATTTAGCAACGATTGTTTAGAAATGTCTAGCAACAAGATAGAGACTCGTCTCCATATATAAGCACTAGGTTGCTTTGATGACTGTAACCCTAAGAAGCAGATCATGATCAACAAACAGGTCAACAGCAAGGCCATGAACATTCAGCACTGATGAATTTGTTCCCCAACTACTCTCCACAGGAGATTTGCTGCTGACTTCCAGGGACCAGAATTTCAGCATAATTTTCCCTATCATTTGTCTCCTTCATTGGTCTGAAAGAAACAGCAGAATAGTAATGAAAGCCTTTTTGCAGCTCCTGTTGTAGGGGCTGCATGTGTAGACCTCTGCATGCCTACCCTTTGAGTGATTTACCACAGTTTGCAAGGACATGGATAGGGGGAGACAGGTATGAATGAGCCAACTGTATAAGTAATTTCCCATGTGAATTTCAGGAACAGTCTGGATATTAAAGGTGTGTATGCAAAGTATGATTTTCTTAGTGCTTGTATTTCCTCTTCCCCCTCTAAAAATGTAGCTGCCAGTATTTTATTCTCATTAGAAATCTACACACCAGAGGCCATCATACATATTTCATAAGCAAACAGCAAAATTATGACATATCATCTCTAGGCTGGACTAAATGTCAATGATATTAATAACCAGTGGTTTACACTTTTTATTCTTAAAGATGTATTTCCTGTCTTGTTCCTGTTTGCATATAAAAGGTGTAATTTTCTTTGTGTAATAAAGTAATATAAAGTCCCTAATTTATTGCTAGCATGCAAGCTAAAAGAGTCAGGGGTTGTTAATGGTTGAGAAATCTTGGCCATGCCAGTGCAACTGGAGTGGAGTGAGCTATGGTATATCTTGGAGCTCAGACTCAGGTCTGCTCAGGGGAATAACCATTCTCATGCCTCATGGAAACAGTGGCACAGAAAAGCTGGCATGGAAGAAGATGAAGAGAGCGTGCAGCACTGGTGTACACTGAAGAGATCACATCCTTGCAACAGGATTGGTCTTATATTCCAAAGATCAATTCTGAAACATACTGAAGCTCAGGAGCAAAATAATTTGTATTTTAAGGTTGTCTAAAAAATGCATTCAACTACAATTTTGTCTTTGTATTCTGCAGACTTTAGTATACGTTATTTAACAGATTTTTCTTTGCTAATATAGGCACGGCCTCCAACTCTGTAAATAGCTGTGTGTAGGTGGACTACCCATGTCCCAGACGCTTTTATTGCCCATATCAACTGCCCACAATCCCTCAAGAAACAGTTTCCATTCTGAAAAGCAATGCCATGACTACAGAAATCAGGGACCAAAAAGAATACCCTACACACATTCTTCATGATGTAGACAGTCTTGATTTCCAAGTAATATACAAAATACAAAATGACACTCCAAAATAATGTGTTGCACAGATGAGAATATGTACCGTGTATCTTCTGCGTTAGTTTTGAGAATGCTGTCTGTCATGCTGACTGTATTTCTGTCTATTGTTGGTAACACTCAACTACTTAGAAAAGATTTTGCATTTGGGGTACTTTTATAATGAGTTTGCTTATTATACCTACACAAAAGAATGATTTTCATGTCTGTAGCTTCCCTGCTGGTTTCAAAACTCAAAATAGCAGCACAACTGCATGAATCATAAAAGCATATGCTCAGATTGGAAAGATCACATTTTTCACTCTTTCAGCTGAAATAAACAGAAAATGGTGTATATGGCTAACAAACCTTAAGATGTTAAAAAATGTAGATCTCAATCCAACAAATACTTATGGTGTTTCTGTATGTTACTATTTGTGTAATTCATCTGCGTTAACTGTTGTGCTGTAATTCCAGGAACCGCTTATGATGTGTACAACATTGGAAAGTGTTCTCCAGAAACAGAGTGTAAATCCTCATTTAATTTTCTCTGTATTATCCCCCCACTTCTCCATAATTACTGATTAGCTATTAAAAAAAGAAAAAAAAAACCAAAAAAACAATCAATTTATCTCCAAATTAAGCAACTTCTAAATTTTATTTTAAAAGAAGGTATGAGAATGTCGATCCAAAAATAAGAAAGATGGTAAGAGGGGACCTCTGGAGGTCTCCAGCCTCTTGGCCAGAATAGGTCTTTGGCCAACACTAGAACAGTGGCTTAGTCTAGCTGAGCCCTGCAGACCTCCAAAAATGATGATTTCACAACATTCCTGAGTAACCTGCATTGCGCTACCCTACTCCTGTAGTTAAAAAGAGTTAAAACGTATGGAAAATAGGGTAAAACCAAATGCACTCTACTCAAACTACACTGACACTGCTTTCAGAGGCTTACTAAAAAACTACCGACTATTAAAAAGCAGTGTCTAAATGAAACCTTTTCAGATGGAGATTTTTTTTTTTTTTTTAAAGAAATAAAATGTTTAGCGTCTTTTAGCTCTATCTGTATTAATGCATTTATTCAAGACAGTTTGGTTATATCAACTGTAAAATCCTCTAGGTCTTTTTTTCCAGTCCCAGTTAAGAAGTGAAAAGCTAACATCAAAGCATGGCTTAAAATTTGCAGAATAGAAATCAATGAGTGCCTCATCTACTTCAAAGTACAGCCACCCTTTCTCATCTGTTTATTAAAAATATCTAAATGCAAGGAAACAACAGACTTGAGCAAATTCAATGTACTGTATGTATAGTGGTAAACATGATACAATATTTCAGCTCATTCAAACTGCATAATTCTATAATCATTACCCTCAGGTTGCTGTATTGATGCATATTTAAGTATGAGATTGAAGAATAAAACAGGAGAAAAACAAATTCCTTTGTTACTGAGGATGTATGTACAGAGACCCTGTTGGGCCATCTTTTTGGTAGTTTCATCTACCTGGCTGCAGGATTCTTTGATGCAAAAAATTAAGTTCTTCAGCACCAATTGAATACTATTTCATTGTTAGAGAGCAGCAGTATATCCCAGGTACTGCAACTAAATCAAAGGCTGTTTTCTAACACAATTAGTTTAAAGATTACTCATGTAGATACTGAGGCAACATTACTTCAATATGCCATTAGGAATATCAAGTCTTCTAAAGGGACCCTTTCCTCTTTGTTCTGCAACTCAAATACGTTTTAATGGATAGAATAAAAGCACTTCAGTCCTTTAAAGAAACTCGTGAATAAAAATGTGAATTGACACTGAATGGCAAACACTTCCACATTAAATAACCCTGCTTGTTTTCACTTTCAGTAAGTACTCGATTTACCAACTGCATGTTATCCATATGTTATAAGCTGTTTGAGAGAGCTGTAAGATCTAGTGAGCACCAATCATAGCGCTGTTATGATAAACATCAATGCAATGCACTAATTGGAACTCTACATAAGATGGATACTGCACTAAAAATGAAAATGCTTTGAAAAGACAGATTATTTTGTTTCAAAAATGTCTCGCTGCTGACCAGGAACACACTGGTCCAACAGATTCACAGCCATGGGCTTCTGAATAATGGTGCCTGCAGCCTCTTGTACAGACAGAAAATGATTGCAGTGAGCTTAAGATGGGAAAACAGCACGAATGTGTTTTTCAATTGATTGGTGGGAGGGAGGCTTCGATTTCTCCTGGGCAAGGAACATCACTTTTCTAACTCAGGCAGTGGCTAGGACTGATGGAGAAAGGCAAAGCGGCTGCCTCTGAAGAAAAACACAATGTACCATAAGAGGGCGCTGGCCGTTTACCCAAAAAATTACTACAAAAACCTCCACAACAGGATACAAATTTAACTTTCCCTTGCTGAATGTGTTCAGCTATTTAAGCAGCTACCACCGTTCTAAAGCAAAGTGAATGTCGATACTTACCTTTTCTACTGCAAATGTTCGAATCACATATTCAGCGAGGAGCTCTGTTTCTATTAGGGTAACTTTAATGTCTTTATATATCTCTGTGTCATCCGGCCAGTATTTGCAGCACTTAACCTTTAAAAACACAAAAGAAATTAAGGTTCATTTATTTTAGAAGGTTCATGCTGAATCTATTCTATATTCTTTGCAGTGATTTCCATTTAAAAATACGACCATGCGCAAAAGCATCACACTTTCTACACACAGAAGTAATTCATGTTTAAGGGATAATAGCTCTTTTTTTAAATACAGCATTTTCGTGTTGCAGATGAGATTTGTGTTGCGATTAGTAAAGTAAAATGAATTCGTATTAAGCACAAGAAATATTTATATTGTGCATAACTCAGTTACAGAAACTGCTCACTTCCTATGCTTTCCAACTGGGGGTAAACGTGCAGAAGGATAACTAATGTGAAAAGCTTTTTTTCCCTGTACATTTTTAGGTATTGATCTCCTACCTTCTAAAATGAAAATATGTTTTTCAGACAGGATGGATCTTCTCTACTGTTAGAGAAGTATCAGCTTTCTCAGATTAATTTTCCAAAGGAACTACTGTGAGGTCCAGTGGCAAAACTCAACACACCAAGTCAAGAGATGAACTTTATTTCTGGGTTTTAACACGTACATGACCCCTGTTGACAGGCTCTATATTTTGACGCAGATATTTTATGCAGTTAAGAACTTTCTCCTCCTTCTCATTTGGGTGGACAAGCTGCTGGGTGGGGAAGTTAACACACTGTTGATATATCTGTTTTATTCTGCTCTATCACAGTAATAGCTATATTGTCATCACTGCACCTGGCCACTGTCCAGTAGTGCAGCACAGGCAAGGAGTAGCATCTGTTACACATCTGCTGCATAATGTCTTCTTTCTTTCTCTCATTGAAGGAAAAAATTTAAACTGATCTTTCTGTACGTGTAAATCTACTGGTTTGCTTAAGTATACGCTTAAATTTGTTGGGTCAAAAAAAACAACTTCAAATTTCAAATGGAAAACTGACACACAGACACACACAAAAACCACATGTAGAAACCTTTGAACTTCACAACTACTAGAGTATTTTTCAAACCTATTTTCATGCCAAAATATTTGGATTACTATCATGTCTAGTCTAGTAAAATTGAATAGAAGGTAAAACTGAAGTATATGCATATAAACACACAGAGGAAACTATAAAGCATGTCTATAAAATGACTTATTTATATGAACTCCAGGTTCAGTATATAAAAAATTATGCAGAGATGAACCTCTTCCTGTTAGGCAGGAGAAAAGGCTTTATCAGACATTGTTTCCAGTGACTAACCAACCACCACCTACCATCCTTTTTTAGTGTCTGGACAGAAGATAGATCGTGCTACATTAAACTGGCAACACTGAATGGTAACACTGAAAGTTGGGTAGGACAAGGTGAGTAGTTCTCTTTTTCTGACTTTTTACCAGGATAAAATTTAAATCGGAATAGAACTGAGTGAAGGGATGGAAGAATACAGCACCACATTAGGGTCCTTTTCATCTCTAGAGGGTTTAGCCCAACACCCTGCTTGGGAGACCTGGCTCGCTGCCACAAAATTATACAAGTATCCTAACAGCTTTTTCCTACTGGAAAGCTCCTAGAGAACAGAGGTGACGTTCAGACAGCAATAAGCAGAGTTTTGTTTATTCCTCTGTGCTTGTCTTCAGATCTAATAACCATGTTGGTATTGGCTAAGAAAAAAAATCTTCGCATTTTTCTTCATATTTAATCTGTTCAGCACAGTTGCAGGACAATTTGCAAACATCAGTAAATGGAATTGCCTTCCACATGGAAAATCTTCAAGGTGGGACACAGGGAAAGTCATCACAGTACTCAGCACTCCTGTACCAGGAGCACCACTGTGGCCCCTTAGAACACCAAGGGGCAGTTCCAGGGTCCCAGCCCCTACACCTCAGGATCAGTGGCAAGCACATATTCACCTCCAAAACACATCCACCAGCTACAAGCAATGAACATCCAGTTCAAAAGCATTAAATGTTGCTGCAAGCAGGTTAGTAGCTACTACTGCTATCTGTTGTTGCATCTACTTGATATCTTTTCCGATCTTATCCTGTTTGGATAGATCTCCAAAAGCTCTCTGATAGAAGCTAAGCAAAACACACTGAATGCTCACTGTTTTGTCTGTTTTGTTAAAACAATCCAGATAATTCACACTGTTCAGTCCCCTTAGGCCAGCAAAATGACCCTTTATGGCCACTGCCAGAAACTCTTTCAAATTCCCACCTATGACTAAAGATGATTTCTTGACTCTGCATGAAGAACAAGGCCGTTCATACTGCCTCTGGCTTGAAGTAGCCCAGTGAAAACTGTGTTGCTGGAGCTAATTGTCTTTTCCTGCCTGTTCCCTCCTCCTTTCCATAGGTGGAACCTGAACCACACAAACCCAGCCAGCACACGTCTGAAGGAAGCAGCTGCTGCCATGATCCTGGTAACAGCACTACTCATCTGCACGTCTCACTGTTGCTAACTTTAGCTTTGTCTCTCTCTGATGGGTGCCTGCCATCCGCAAAACAGCTCTAGTTTAGTAAAATAAACAATTGGGGAAAAAAAAAAAAAAAGCCCTGGCTGAATTAAATTGCTCAGCCTTTATGGAAAACATGCCTGTTTCTAACTTGGTAAGTCTAGACAGTCTGGATTATGAGTAAGAACTGGGGACATTTAGAAAGACTGATTTAGAAGAGCACAGTAGTCCCTACCTTCTTCTCAAGTGTTGGATTTACTTCCACCTTTTTTTTTAAATCTTATTTAAGATGATCCAGTGAGTAATTAGGGAAGTGCTGGGGGATGTTGCACAGAAGTTATAGCCCTCTGTGCCTCGTGCAGCTTGTGCCCACTGGGGACTTTATACTCTGTAGCACAGAGGATGTGGGGCATGGAGTAGATTAGAGCAGAGCAGAAGGATCCATGACAACACAATTTCCTGAAAACTCTCCCAAGTGGAATAGGGGTTGTAACAGCTGTGGGAAAGGTGCCAGAACTGCAGTCATAGCCACAGACCAACAGTAAATGATTCACTCAATGCAAGGAAAAAATAAAACACAACTTTTTTCTTTCTCTCTTTCCTTAAAAAAAAAAAAAAAAATTGGCTTTTTAAAATACTTTTGGCTCTTGTTCAGTTATCCTGTTGCACGTGCTGTGCTGTAGACGTGGGAACTCTATGGACTTCTGATTAGCCAAAAGTTCAGTAAATGCTTAAAGACTAGTTTCCTATCTCCTCCAAGGTTCCTCAAGTAAATACGATAGGGTCTTAAAGAAAGGAGTAAACAGTGTGAATTAAACTCACACTTATAAATGCTTATTGGACCAAGGCCTTTATTTGTACAGGGAAAGACAATTGCAGCAAAATAGAATATGGTATTTCTCATCAAATATGAGAAACGCTGCTGGTAACATATGTTTGTTCACTTTTTCTTTTTAGCACAGCTTTAGCTACTGTGTCATTATGAAGCTCTTTCCCTTTTTATAAACATTTGATACATATTTTACAAAAAATGTACCAACAGAAGGTTTAGCTGAATAATTGATATATGAATCCAGAACTGAATATTAAGTGCATTAGATTTTTTTCCACACAGTTGCTACCATTACAGTAAATATCGGCCACAAAGTAGAAAACATGATTTTGAAATCTCATCTGAGCAGAACTATAATTGGGAGCTTGTTCAGATACACCCCACATTTATATCCGAACACACTGCCAAAAAATACAGATGTTCATCACACGATGAGATAAAAGGGGTGATTGCCAGAGACATAATGAAAATGCTCTGGTTTAATCTATTCATCCCAAGGTACACCGTCCATTTGTTCCAAATGTTTATTTTACTAATAATTTGAGAAATCTGGAGAATATGATTATCTGCTTTGACCTCTCCCTACCCTCATCCCCCAGCAAAATAGTCTAATGTGAGAAAATAAGAATTAAAAATGAAGGTGGAAACTTGTTCTTGCTACTTCTAAATATAACAAACAATGCAGGCAGTAGACAGATAATGAACACAGATTGTGACTTCCGAAGCTGTATATTTAGCCATTTGGCAATGTGACACATCTAGCTAAAGGCAGTATGAAAGCCAGGACAGTAATTCATTTACTTAGAGGTTTGGAATAGGAGGAATATTACAGAATTAATATGTGAGCTGGCTGTGAAAAATACTTTGCAGTTCCTACAGAACAGTTTAAATAACAATGATTATTCAGAATTTCCAGTTTCCTTTGATTCTGAAATAGTCTTAGCAAAAAGGTGGTATAACTGGCTATGCACTGAAAGGACTGTCATTACTGAAGAGCAGCATTATATATTCTAATTTAAAATTAATCCCAAACTAAGTAACGATGATAAGCCAGACATAAATTTTGAAGTGAAACCTCTAGGGTATAAAATGAAACAGCCAACTGAGCTCACTGGTGAAAACTTTTAACAGGTTTTGCAGATAGAAGTAGGATAACATCATATACTTTTATTTGGCTGACTTGAAATAAAGGAACATCCAATAACTGGAAGTATTTTTATTTAAATACTTTTCAAACAAAAGTGTATTGTGATGAAGAACATTTTATTAGTTACAAACCCACCTCTGACTGAAGATAAAATCTAATTCTTTCTTTTTCATTTTGCTTTAGAGTGAGTCAGTTAATTGATCTATACTTCATTTTATACTTTTCTAAATGAGGTATGGAAGAGAATTGAGAAATACAACATTTAAAATACTGTTTGGCACCAGCAGATGAATGGGTCTGTACAAAAGGCAGCCAGAAGTCTTTCTGTGGTTCACAGTTCCCACAGGGTGAGAGCTCTATGAATTTTACTTGCTCAGCCTAACTTCTTCCAGCAATGACATAGAACTGATATCATTCATCACCTTCTGCTGCCCTGTGCTGCCCCAACGCTGTTATCTTAGGCTGCCCAATGGATGCACTTTTGTTCAGCTTCTGCCAAGAAAAGTTAGCTATCTGGATACTAACTGCTTTCTACCTAGGGAATAAATGCAATCCATTTGTTCATGAAAACTGCATATGTTGTTAGTATAGAATCAACCG